GAAAACCCACGCAGCACGGAGAGAACGTGCAAACTCCACCCAGAAAGGCCCCTGGACCGGGATTTGAACCAGGGACCTGCTCGCTGAGAGGCAGCAGCTCTACCAGTTGCGCCACCGTGCTGCCCTGGCTATAATGTTATTTAGAATTTTATAATCTTTTATCACCAAATCAAAATGGATTAAGGAAAGGGAGAAATACAATGGAGTCTGTTTTATGTCTTGAATTTGAGATTAGGAAAGTGCAAGCTAATAAAGAATCAGTAATTGCATTTTTTTTTTATATAGAAAAATATGATACATTTTGGAAAGAAGGTTTATTAATAAAACTAGAAAAACTTGGGGTGAAAGGAAAGCTATTTCATTGGATAAGAAATTTTTTATTAAAAAGAACCATTTAAGTACGAGTGGGAAAGGAATTTTCGAATAACTATATTGTGGATAATGGTACTCCTCAAGGTAGTGTATGTAGCCCAGTATTGTTCTTAAAGATCAATGATATATTTGATAAAATAGATCCTGGAATTATCCATCCATCCATTTTCTTCCTCTTATCCAGGGTCGGGTCGCGGGGGTAGCAGCCCAAGTAGGGAGGCCCAGACTTCCCTCTCCCCAGCCACTTGGTCCAGCTCCTCTAGGGGAATCCCGAGGCGTTCCCAGGCCAGCAGAGAAACATAGTCCCTCCAGCGTGTCCTGGGTCTTCCTCTGGGCCTCCTTCCGGTGGGACGTGTCTGGAACACCTCACCAGGGAGGCGTCCAGGAGGCATCCTAAACAGATGCCCAAGCCACCTCAACTGGCTCCTCTCGACGTGGAGAAACAGCGGCTCTACTCTGAGTCCCTCCTGGATGATCGAGCTTCTCACCCTGTCTCTAAGGGAGAGTCCAGACACCCTGCGGAGAAAACTCATTTCGGCTGCTTGTATCTGTGATCTTGTTCTTTCGGTCAGAACCCAAAGCTCGTGACCATAGATGAGGATGGGAACGTAGATCGACCGGCACATTGAGAGCTTCACCTTTTGACTCAGCTCTCTCTTCGAAGTCGCAATCTAGAATATATTAGGAATAAAATGCAAAAGGCAATTAAAGAAGTTGAAGTATGGTCTAATAAATGGGGCTTTAAACTTTCAAGTACAAAATCTTAGGTCATCTGCTTTTCTAAAAAACATAAAATTATTTCCTTAAAACTATTTGGTTAAATTCAATTCAATTCAATTCAAACATACTTTATTAATCCCAAAGGGAAATTATTTGTTGTTGTAACTCGTTATCCTCATTTCATTAAGAGATGTTATAGATGCTGATGGCTGTAGACAGGAAGGATCTCTTGTAAAGGTCCATCCCACAGTGGATCCTAAGAAACTGGCTGCAGATGCGTCAGATCCGTCCACCCAGACTCAGCTGGACTCTCGGTTCCCCCGGGCTGTAGGACCGCCTGAATGTCGGGTAGAACTCCTCCCAGAGCGATGGTCACTCCTCCCAGCAGTCTGCCGAGCTCCTCGTCACTGCGGACAGCCAACTGTAGGTGCTGATGGATGATCCTGTCCTTCTGCTGTCATGAGTCGTGTTTCCTGTTAGTTCCAGGATCTCAGTGGTCAGGCACTCGAGCACAGCTGGCAGGTAGATGAGAATGCGTCCACAGAACATCCTTTTCAACTCATTTGAGAGTTGGGGCTGTAGTTGAGATATTATTTGAGCTTTTGAGATGTTAATCAGCTGTTGGTTGTAGAAACTGCCTTGTTGCCATGGTTACGCATCATGACAAATGTCCAAAACTACAAAACTTTCAGTAAAAATCCTTCCAGCTGCACAGCATCTGATACCAGAGGAAACAATCATCCAAAAAAATGTGATTTACATCCAGAAAAAGAGGAATTAAAGTTTCCAAAAGCAAAATCTCAGAATGAAAGTAACAGAGCTGCAACAACATGCAGCCACCTGGAGCGGCGCAATTCTAGAATACCTTGAACAGGTTAAAGATATAAGATTTTTAGGTATTATTTTTGATGAAAAACTTACTTGGAAGCAACATATTGATAAAGTTAGAATAAAATGTAAAAATGTTAATAATATACTATGATGTTTGGCAGGAAGGGAATGGGGAGCAACTAGGAAATCATTAGTAAATATATATATATATATCAATCTCTTATCAGATCAACTCTGGACTATGGTAGTATCAGCTATTCGGCAGCAGCAGAAAAAAATGTAAAGCTTTTTGATAGAGAGCAATCAAAAGCACTTAGAATATGCCGTGGAGCTATAAGAACATCACCAGTTGCAACTTTGCAGGTTGAAATGGGGGAAATGCCGCTACAAATTACAAAGTAGAAGACTAAAACAAATGTTAGTATATTGTATAGTATAATGTGTTCAACATAATGGTACTTCCTCCAGTTATTTAACAGTCAACAATGGTGTACCACAAGGCTCAGTCTTAGGACCCACCCTCTTTACATTCTACATAGGTAATATAGGTAGTAGGTAATGTAGGTCAGAGCATCCCTGATGCATCCATACATTTCTATGCTGATGACACAGTTGTTTATTGTCGAGCTAAAACTGTTGATAAGGCTCTCCAGCTTTTGCAATCCACATTCAACATCATCCAGACTGATTTGTTTCGCCTCAAACTTGTCCTAAATGCCGACAAAACCAAAGGGATGCTCTTTTCAAATAGGAAGTTGGTCCCAGCAGTTCTTCCTCCGATTTTATCCTCAAATGGTGTCCCCATTGAGTTTGTTGATTCCTATAAATATTTGGGTATCTTGGTCGACTCACATCTCTCTTTTAAGCTCCATGTGGAAAACTTGGTAAAGAAACTGAAAGTTAAACTGGGTTTCTTTTTCAGAAACAGATCCTATCTAACTCTGAATGTTAGGAAACACCTTGTATCTGTGACTTTCCTTCCCTCCATTGATTACGGTGACATTATTTACATGAACGCTCCTACAAGAACCCTGAAGATGTTGGATGCTGCAGATGTTGGATGCTGCAGATGTTGGATGCTGCAGATGTTGGATGCTGTCTATCATGGTGCACTAAGATTCATAACTGGCTGTGATTATCGTACCCACCACTGCACCCAGTATTCACTGGTTAACTGGACACCATTAACTTCACGCAGACTCTCTCACTGGTACATTTTCATCTTTAAATCACTTCTTGGTCTGCTGCCTTCATACATCTCCTCCTACATGTCTCTGCATGAGTGCAGCTACAGCGTGCGCTCTCAGGACATTATTACCTGCAGTGTTCCCTCAGTGAGGACTGAACTAGGCAAAAGGGCCTTCTCCTACTCCGCTCCTGTTTCCTGGAATATCTTACAAAAAGACCTGAAGCTCTTGACCTTTGACCTCTCTAAGTGGCTTTAAGAATCTGTTGGACTCCTGGCAGGGACCAATGCTGACATGTTCCTGTTTTTAGTTTTCTACATTCGCCTCAGAATCTAGCTGTTTTTTGTTACATTTTTTCCCATCTTACTTTGTATTTTAATTAGTAAAAACAAAAATCTGTATGCCTCTTTTATGACTGTCTATTGTTGCTGTTGTCCATTGTTGTCATCTTTCTTTGTTGAAATCAGGTCTCTTGTAAATGAGTCCTCGAGGCTCAATGGGATTTACCTGTAGAAATAAAGGTTGATTGAATATTGGGTTACTGTTAAAGGACATAGACAATCTCATCCAATTAATAATATGTTACATGAATGTTGAGAGCATCAGAAAACAGATATCAATAGTTTTGGCTGGATAGGGAATATAAAAGCTCAGAATGCAGGATTACATGAAATAACATATGTCCAACAGTTATTCTTCCTAACATTCGTCATCGGCTATTTACTAACCCCTTTGTTGATCTATCTTTGCACCAATTAATCAAAAATAAAGGAAAACATACCTCAGAATTTTTTTAGTACAACAATTCCTCCATCAACAATATATGAATAAACTTATATTATTTACAGATGGCTCAAAAGAATCAGGACATACTGGAACAGAAGTATACATCCCAAACCAAAATATGGAAATGAAGAAAACAACAAATAACTTGTGAGTCTGTACAGTAGAATTATTAGCAGTACTCATGGGTTTAGAAAAACACAATGATCAAAAATATGTAATTGCATCTGACAACATGGCAGCTTTATTAAGCATCAAATCAAATAACTCACAAAGAAAAGACATAATTAACAGGATTTACCACATTCTATATAAACTTGATGGAAGGCAGATATCTGTAGACTTTGTTTGGGCTCCAGCGCATGTGGGAGTGGAGGGTAATGAAGGCGCAGACATTCTAGCAAAACAGGTAGTAAAATCTACAAATGTTCATTATGAAATAGCATTATGTAAAGATGAATGTAAACTGATAATAAATACATATACTAAGAAAATATAAAATATGGCATGAAAACCTGGACTTTACTGATACAGGAAGACATTTACACAACATTCAGAAAAAGGTAGGATATACAAGGAAAACAGGAAGAAACAGGAAATTAGAATCAATAATTCCTCGTATTAGAAACACAGGTCTTAATAAATCTCTTAAAATAAATGGAAAGCATGCAACAGGACTGTGTGACAAATGTACCAGTAATCTCCCTGAAACGGTTCTACGTGTCTTAATGGAACGTCCTGGGTGTGAACCAGAAAGAAAGTTTTCCCAAAAATAAATAAATTAATATTAAAATTACAATTAGGGATGTTTTTAGTAGTGATATCAGTAAAGTTAAAGAGCACATTATTATTTTCTTGAAAAATACAAACTTAGTAGAGAGAATTTAGTTACGTTATTAAATTAATTTGACAGAATTATATATTTTTTCCTGTTTATCTCCGTCCACACTCCAGCTCAGCAGGTGGCGGTAATGCACCTTACAGTTGGTCTGCCAACCGCCATAAAGCCAAACAAGCAGAAGAAGAAGAACTTTTTTTCTTTTTTCCGAGTGACTCATCTTCACCACAGACGATCTTCGGAGCCCCGGCGCGCTCTCAGCTGACACGGAGCGGCTGTCAGCCAAAGCCTCCCACCAGCGGGTGCTGATACCAAGAGTTATTACACTACATCGACTTTGCAGGATGGTAACAAGTTCTCGTTTACCTCGCAAGCGATGAATGAAACGAGCACGGAGGGGACCGGACCGAGACCGGCGGAGGTTTTGTTGAGTACGGGCTACCGAGCCCCGTTTACCTGGCAGGTCGGAGGATGGAGCGAAGGCTAAGCGGCGACGGAAAGCCGTGTGTGTCCTGGTTTGTCCTCGGCCTCCTCTCCCTCCTGGCTGTGCCGGCGAGCTGTCACGCTGCCTGCAAACACCGAGTTCCCTCTCCCAGCGAGGTGAGCCTCGGCTCGGCTGCTTTCACTGGAGCCAAACACGCGCTGCCCTCTTACGTAGCGCCTTAGCTTCGGCGCTAACTGAAGTGCTAATTTAGTTCACTTTTTAAAACATTATTCACAAATAATGTTGCTTGTCAGCCTTGCATGAGCATGATGAAGAGTTGTTTTTGTGCAAGATTTATTTTGGACTTGTAGTTTGCTGACAGGCTAACAAGAAGCTAGCCTAGTTCTGCGCGTCCATCATTTGTTATTGATTATTTTTACTCTGTTCAAGCAGTAACCTGACAGTCAACAATCGATCGATCAGTTTTCTGTTTGTCAGCCTGTGTTCCCCCAGCAACAGTAACCTGACAGTCAACAATCGATCGATCAGTTTTCTGTTAGTCAGCCTGTGTTCCCCCAGCAACAACTAAAGTAATGTTTCCGGGTCGCGTGTTTTCAAAATAAAGGCACGATAACTTTTTTTTATTTTTTGTATGAGCTGCTGACTGTTTCACGTAGTTTTTAAAACCCAACAGTCAGACATGTTTAATGCTTTTGCTTCTGGATTTCTTACCATTTACATTAGAACATAAATGACCATTTATTTTAGAGCTTCGAATTAAGTTTAACTTACTGTTTCCGGTTAGATCTCTTCACAATAAAAGTGGCGTCTGTAACGAGAAGTCGCAGGAAAAGTAACTTTATTTCTTAACTACTGTAGTTACATGTCCAGTATAGATGCATGCTTCATGGTGTAGTTTGAGCCTTCCGCTGGATAACAAAACAAAGTAAAAAGTTTGCTCACGCTCCAGAGATGTTTGATTTCTTCTTGTTTTTCTGCTGTTTATTGCAGGTGATTCATCAAGTGCACTTGAAGCCTGATCGCTTAACCAAAAGAAGTTCTGACGAGCTTCAGTTAAAGATAAAGATCATGTACGACAGCAGCGTTGATCAGTAAGTTGTGCATCGACTCCTTCAGCTGCACAAACAGCAACAAGCTCAGCGTCCTGCAGAAGCCGTGCCACCACACCAGACATCTGTCACTTCCTCTGTGAAACAGCTGTGAAGTCGTGTTTACAACGACCAAAGTCATAACGCGTGGATGATGTATGATGTAATATATGATGTACGTATCGATTGCCCTTTAAGTCGCGTCTTTTGCATGATTTGCACGGCCTGCGACTTATACGCCGAAGCGATGCATCTATGGATTTTTTCCATATTTATAAACTGTTTGTCTGAGATTGACAGTTTTCATTCATTCTGACTGAAAATATTGAACATTTTCAGCAGCTAAATGGCACTTGAGCAGTATGACATACCATTGTGTCATTTAATAAGTAAAAGTGTCTATTAATGAAACATTCAGCTTGCCGTAGCTGCCTCCTTCATCCAGCTCTCATGGAGCGACCATCAGATCAGCTGCATTTCACCGCGCCGCCCTGGAGAAATGCAGCTGATTGGACCATTAAAGTGCATTTATTAAGTAAAAGTTCAGCTGAGACGCACCTTTACTATAATGTTGAGCAAACAAACAATTGTTTTATCTGCTTATCTTGTTAACTTTTGAAGAAATGCGCAGCGTTCCTCCTGATTTCCTCCCCGTCTGTGCTCCCGGAGCACGGAGGCAGCGAAGACGTTTGAAATGCAGCTGATGTGACCGTCGGCATTTATTAAGGAAAAGTTGGACTGACACACTTTTACCATAGTTTCAAGCAAAAAAAAGTTTTTAAGTGTTAATCTTGTTAAATTTTTGTTAGTCCTCCCGGGCACACTCCCGTATCGACAACACCGGCCCACATGTCCGGGTTGTCAGCACTGACATGTAACACGCGACGCGTCAGTGATGATGCATAATACATAATTATTAATAATTAATTAATTAATAATGCAAGCAACATATATAGTGAAGCGACATATTTATGGATTTTTCCACTTTATTCAACATGTTTGGACTGATGCGACTTATAAGGCGGTGCGACGTGTACGGTGGAAAATACGGTAATAATTAATTAATTAATACCAAAGTTTAGAAGAAAAAGACAATCTTCCAAACTCTCTTCATTTTGCCTTTTAAACTACTGGATGTGTTGAATTACAAATATTAAAGCAAAGCTGCGTGTCTTCAGGGATATTGTTGAAAGCAGGCTCTGTCCTCTCAGCCTGACTTGGTAAAGCCTAAAAGTTAATAAGAAGCTTCTTGTAATATTAACTGTTTAACGGATGTCTCATCAAATCCAGACTCATTCTATGTATTACACGTGCACCTGGTGGACATGGTAACGTGGTGCTACTTGGTCCTGATGGTGTCAGTCCACACAGTCCTGAGTCCCGTCCACTGCGGCCTCGGTGCTGGACAGCAGGAGCGGGGCTTCCAGCGGAACTAGAATTCACAAGCTTTTTGTTCAGCTATTTCCTACGCTGAAATAATAATGGGAAGATTTTTAACTACAGTGGGAGTTCTTTGGATGAGTTTTTTAGATTGAATGATAAAATTAAAAAGTTTGATTATATTTGACAAAGTTCTAAGTTGCGGCACTGACTACATTAAGACCACTGAGAAGTGTCCTGATTGGGACCAGTTACCTGAAAGTCTTGGGTCGGAAGTTGCTCTACCCACGGTGATCACACTCGGTCTGCTTTGTGAAACTGAAAACTGAATTTCAGCTCGGCACGAATCACAAAGTTTGCACCTCTGAGTGTTGAGGGCAGTTTCGACCTCCTCTTTTCTGTGGAATGAAGCGACGTTCTAAATGAGAGTTTTTCTGTAACTCAAGCAGCTCTGTAAGTCCCGGTGATTTTTCCATCACAAGCTGAAGTGTTCTTTCTGTCCACAGGCTTTCTGCAGACAAACGGAGACTAGTGAAGGTGAGCAAAGACCTGCAACCTTTCTCTTAGGCCTGTCACGATAACACATTTTACTGGCCGATTAGTTGTCTCAGAAATTTTTGTGATAAACGATAATATTGTTTGGAGTTTGACAACAACGAGTAATTATTGTCAAATTTAAGAAGAAGTGTTGGTTAATTTTTGTGTAGAGTATCTTTTTTGCCCACTTGATGGCAGTATAAGACTGTTTGAACTGAAGGATGGACAGTGAGGGAGCGAGCAGCGTGTCTCGTTAAGAAAAATGGGAGGGAGGCCCCTCGACGTGACACGGGCTGTCTCTCCTTTTTATGGTTGTCAAAATGGTGAACCCTCGGTGTGGTTTGAGCTCTTTAGCATTTGTCACAGAAAACTTGTAATAAAAAAATCAGTAAACAAGTTCTCAGCTTGTATTTTCAGAAAAACAACTTTTCACACGAAGGCACGAGTTTCAACCGTGAATTTTGGAGCTTCGACAAGACGGAGGTTTTTTTTCCCGAGGTCGGCCTGTTGGCTTAGCTCGTAGCTCAGCTTGTAGCTTGGCTCGTAGCTTAGTTCGTAGCTTAGCTCGTAGCTTAGCTTGTAGCTTAGCTCGTAGCTTAGCTTGTAGCTTAGCTCGTAGCTTAGCTCGTAGCTTAGCTACTCAGCTGCTTTTAACGATCCAAAAATGTGATTTTGGATCGTTAGCACAATCTGTCACGATATGATTTTGATTCGATTCACAAGTCTGCGATCAATATGTTGTAATATCACATGCCCATCTCATTTACATTTAAATACATTTACAAAAACAATTCAAATATGATTAAACAGTTTTATTTCTATTACAAGCACCAGGCATTTAAATAAAACCATTTTTTCTTAATGAATGGAAAAGGTCAAATAAATGACGTGTTCAGTAAA